CCTATCGTGGCTGACAGGTACAGACGGACTGTTTAGCTCTATCAACTCTTGTCAACTTGACTTTGCCTTGACAGTGCACTGCGGTAGGTGTGGAAAGATACATTGGTGAAGATGCCCGAAAATTCCACTGCACTATAAACTGATTTTAGCACGACTGCGCACCTACTTCTAGAGCAGTGGTGAGGGCCATGTCAGTTACAATGACTGAAATATAAACACAGACACGCCACTGCCATCAAAAATGACCCTGAAATGGAAACGCCCTCTAGTGCATGTTTACATTCAGAATAACCAAGTGCCCTAAGAGGCACTGGTGTTCTGGGCAAGGGGAGTGCAGTGTACTCGGGAACACGCTCACTGAATTTAATATATCCGGGTGGATTGATTCATCTGCGGACTCGTGGCCCCGTGTTGGTCCAGCGTATCTACCACGCGGCCCGTTTAGGGAGCACGCATAATCCCATGACCAGACAGCTGACAAGCTCGCAGAGCCGAGTAGTGTGTGGGAGAGAAAGAGAGAGAGAGAGGTCAGCACTGGGTAATCCATCCCCAAGGCACGCCAGTGCATTTCGCATCCTGCTAAAGCTGATCCGCTTTGAAATCATCACGAAACATTGAAAGGCATGACTTAGAGGAACGCTAACTGACGGGATAACTCGGTACTGTGTGTATATATTCGGAGCAGTTGGTTGGAAGACTGAGAGTTAGTCTCAGTGGCTTTCGCTTAATGTGGCCTTTAGAGCCAATCGGTACATTCTGCGGAGTCCAGGTCATCTGCACGTGAAGACGACTTGTTTGGCTTTGTCAACCACTGCGCCCAAACTCACCTTCGGTAGTCGGAGCCTGATTGGTGAGGAAGGAAAGAGTGAGGTAGGTGCTTAGGAAGACCGTTAACACTATAAACGAAGTAACGAACAGGTAATCTGTTCTCTACGAGGCATGAGGTGGGGATCATCACTTGCGACTGTCCTTCAGTTGAAACTGAGAAGCAGGCAGGATCGTGACAGTTCAGGTTATCGATCACAAAAATGTCTTCAGCTGTGACAATCTATAGAAGACCCATGCAGTCACTGAGTATCAACGAAAAGGTGTTTGATTGTCACATGTGATTGCAACACCGTCAAATAAGGTTGCTGGTTAACGATGAGGAATACAACTAACATGTCTAGTTGCGTAGTTACATTTGTTTAAATTCATTTGACGAAACAGCAAGTCCTCATTCGTTCGACTGCTCCGTCATCTACATGGGCTTTTCACCCTGTACCAGGCTGGATATGATGGACGCTCCCTCGCTGAAATCTTTCAACAAATTGGTAACTGTCGACGATCTAGCAGACTAGACAATTGGATTTACAGCCTTGAGGACCGCCTCTCTGGGATATTCGGGTGTAGGCTTGTTAAATAGATGAAAAAATAAAAAATAGTAGTTTTTACGCCAAGACGAAACAAGCGCGCTCGTATAGAGGCTGTTCGTAGTGCATGACCACTTACCCGACAAATATCCTGCATAAGAGAGAACTTGAACATCCAATCGAGTTTGATTTGAGGATTCTCAAGCACATCCTGGAGGCTACCCTTGGGGCAGTATTCGTACACAAGGCACTGATGGGGTGACTCGATGCACGCACCCACGAATCGGCAAATGTGTTCTGAATTCAGGTCCTTTACCTAAAAGAAAAATATGACCCCAGTCTAACAGGATGTCGAAGATGCAGTTTATACCTATTAACCGAAAAATTCAACACTATTCCGATAGGGGTGCACGGCCTTAAGACAGGGATGGGATAGGTCAGCGCTGTGAGATGATGAATCCTACTCCGTAAGGGCCAAAATTTAAATAAATAAAAACAGCAACACCTCTGCTGATTAGTACCGCTCAAGGATGGAAATGTAAATGTTTCCTACGGAAAGGTAAAGTTGACACAATAGGACGTTCCCCCTCGCAAAGTAACCTGGTCAGCTGAGATTAATGATTTTTAAATCACCTAGTACTGTCTGGGAATGCCTGTAGAGCACCCAATTAATATAAACTTTGCTCTGAATGTAATCACACCGACGGGAATGACCAAGACACAAAGACCAGGACAAGGCTGTGTCTACAGGAAACTGTAGTAGATAAGATATCTCCTGAAACATTAACAGAATTGTTTTAAGTGGGTTCACAATCCTGATTAGTGGGCACCATAGTATCAATGTATATCAGTCACTCCGGAATGCCGGATTTCCAATGGGCAGTTTCCCTGCCTCTTGTGAAAAGCACACATTTAAAAGAACATTTAAGTAGTATGCTTATTTTTTATTAATTTTCCATGGCATCAGAAATCCTAACATATGTTATCTGAATAATGCGCAGAACTAGTCTTTCTTAGACTGATTTCGCGCTGAATTACATCTTCATACAATTTTAAAACTCAAAGAATGGATACTTCCGTTTAATAAACGTTTATACCTAGGAAATTTTTTGAGATAAGTGTCCTGTGTAACGCGTTCGATGAACGCTTTACTAACGCTACAGATGTCACAGATCAGCTACGGAACTCACTCTTGCCGTCCCCCTCACTTCATTAACGTTTATTTATTGAAGGCAAACGAGTTATTTGAAGAAGAAAAAGGCAAATTTATTGAATAAGTTTTCGACGCTGGGTTCCCGGCTCGTCGGCAGAATTGAATCCAAGTGCCCTAAAATAGCTAAGATTTCAAACGGACCTAAAAAATTAATAAGCGGCCGAAATAGCAATCTCAAAAAATAGCGCGATTCAAATATTTGCAAGTGTTTGTGGCTTTATGTGAGTACACTAATTTACCGTTCTACAGAGAGAAAAAACGCAAAAGAGTGAAGCTGATCTGTTTATCCTGCTTTTACCAAACCATTTGTCAATCAGCAGCTAAGTACAATTACCCCACACAGAAGCCGGAACACTTAACACACAAAAAGGGAGTGTACTCACGCGAGATACTTCGATTAGAAGGGCTTCCGTGATTTCTATACGTCGGTCAGGAGGTAGAGCCTTGAGTGCCACAACGTTGCCCTTGTAGATGGTGGTTTTGATGAACATCTGAGCGTTCGTCATATAGTCTAAATGCACGCCTGATATAGTGTCCAAAGAGGAGAAACTGTCGAAGGATTCCATCGAGTCACTACCCCGCAGCTGTGAAAAACAAATGAACAGGCAGAGACTAATAAGCTTGATTGAAAGACCAGAACTTGGACGTTTTTAATAGTATTTGGATTTCAAATGTACTCCATATTTTAATACTATTATAAATGTGCCTATAGATGTGCTCGAATCAGTACTTGCAGAGAATGTGATGAATAGAGAGAAATTTCAAACGACGGAATTGATAACAGTCACAGCTCAACATCGGATGAAAGGTATCAACGTCGAGAAATTGAAAAATCGGTCGTAAAATTCTTTCTTTTACTTGTGCAAAGAGTAGGTACAGACAGAAGCCATCTAAACACTATTAATTAGGCTTCCGAAACTGACCCCTGTAAGTCCGAAAGGTCGCGCTGCTGGACGCAGAATTGGAAGTCAGGGAGTTGGTGAGGTAAGCTCCACCTTAGAAGGACTACACATTTAACTGGTTGAATCCCAATACACGGGAATATTAAAAAAACTAGTCCAAAGACATTGCGCTAATTTCCAGGGAGATCGTGATTAGGGTCAGGATTAAGGTTAGTTTTAGAGGTAAGGTACATCTTGGAGTTAAGGTTAGGGCTTGAGTTAATTATAGAGTTAGATGTAGGGCTGCCCATATTGTAGAAAAGGGGAGCCCTTTCCCATGTCTTACCATCAAACTACTACAAAGGCACAAAATGACGCCATCCATCGTTAAAGACCAGTAAACAGTCAACTGGGACGGTTATATACTCAATCAATGACCGAATTTGCTAGCTTTAGTGCATAAATGACTATCTACCAGTGTTGATATTCCTGATCTAAATTAACAAGGCCACGAGCCAGTAGCTCAATGGTTAGGGTGTTGAGCTTCAAGCCAACAGGTCGCGGGTGCGAGCCTCGGGTGCCGAGGATGGGTATGACTGGTTGATGATGGCTAATGAGTCAGAAATGGCCACTTCAGTCTCCCTTGCCTTTGTCGGTAATGGCCTTATGCCTATAAGATGACTACGTGTTCCTAGGACCACCATGGAAAGAAAAGGGCATGTCCAATAAATGATTGCTGTAAGTTAAACAACAAGTAAAGCACATTCGGTAAGGAAAAAAATAAATGCCAAAAATTCCAGCGGACAAAAATGGAAACAAAGATACAAGCTGGAAGAGTAGTATAGACTGTAACAGGACGATGTGCATTCCGGGTTGGCGTGATGGACGGTGTGGAATTCACTGCAGTGACAGTCGAATATCCTAGTCGTATAAAACACTGAGATTCCATTTCCTATTATCTTGGAGCCTGGCATCATCACTGCCAGGCAGTCTTGTACTGCCTTCAAAAGGTGGCAAAAGTAAGATGGTGGTAGTGATGATGATGTGAGTTGACTTAATTGTGAAAAAAACTCGAGGCGTATGGCGGGATTTGAACCCGCGTAGTAGAGAAGGCCTTTACCGGAAGCCAACGCTCTAAGCACTTGAGCTACAAACGCCCCAACTCGCGCCATGAGTTTAATCACAATTGGGTCGATTTTACCACCCAACTTTACCGCTCGTATGGGATCCACCAATATGGAACAGCAAGCAGACTACCCAAGCAGGATTTCCTAAGGAATCATCTAGAATCCCAAGTGTGATCTAATTAATTGCGCGAGGTGGGGCGTTTGTAGCTCAGGTGGTTAGAGAATTGGCTTTCGGTAAAGGCCTTCTCTACTATGTGGGTTCAAATCCCGCCGAACGCCTCGAGTATTTCACAGTGGGACTCAAATTAAGCAAATCTGCCAAACCTCCTAATAATTAAGTCAGCCTAGTAATCATTCTGGTGGATTCTAGATGATTGCTTATGAAATCCTGCTTGGGCAGTCAGCTTGCTGTTCCGTATTGTTGGATTCCATACGAGCAGTAAAGTTGGGCGGAAAGATCGACCCAATTGTGAATAAGTTCAATGCGCGAGGTGGGGCGTTTGTAGCTCAAGTGTTTAGAGCGTTGGCATCCGATAAAGACCTTCTCTACTATGCGGGTTCAAATCCCACCCAACGCCTCAAGTTTTTTCACACATAGGTCAACTTAAATCCTGCAAATCTGCAAAACCTCCTAATAATGATGATGATGATTACTACTATTAATCCCTAAAGTAGTAGCAGTAGTAGTAGAAGTCGGTTAGAGAACAATTGGAAAACTCACCTTCCGAGTGGTTTCTTGACCAGCAACGGATTTAGTTCGACGAGAAAATTTGCGCAAGTGCCCTTCTTTACGGTGCGAACCTACATAACGACGTTTATGGCCCGAGGGCGCTTCGGATGAGCTCCTCTTGCTCCAGAAGTTGAAGACTCCACCTGCGCTGGAGATAGATACAGAATCTCCCATCTCTTGAATCGGAGCCTCGCTCTTGCGACTCCAACGTTGCTGGCGCCTCAGCCAACGACCAGACGTGACGGTGTTATGCACGTTTTCTTCCAGTGCAATCGGGTCATCGGGTGCGCAGGTGTAGGACCTGCGAGTCGCCTGTCGCACCTCCGGCTGGCTGACAGTTGAAGCAAACTTTAATACCTCCCGAAAGATGGAACGTTTTTTCCTGCGGGGTGGCTCGTCCGATTCGAAGGTCACCACAGGTGGGCGGTTAATGCTTGCAACGCAATTATCCTTCCGCGAGATTCCGTCGGGTGGCGTTTCCAGCAGGAACTCCTTCTCTGCCGCTGACAGAGCGGTGCC